GACAGGCTCGGCTCATCATAGGATTCTCTGAATTTTTGTGTATATTTGAGATTCTGTATTATAAAAAATGAAATATTTACATTTTAAATTATTCTAAATTAACTAAAAATTTTAAATACAAAGTAAGCCAAGAAAGTTAAAAAAACAAATTAAATTGGCCTCAATTAGAATTTTGAAGTCTCTTATCTTTTTAGCTGACTCTCTCATTTGAAATGGTCCAAATCATTTTCCATTTATCATTTATTCATTCAGCAGGTATTTTTTGAGGCCCTACCCTGTGTGAGACAGCCTTTTAGGGTACTGGGACAGTAGATAGGCATAGGATTAAGTTTCTTCTCCTCTGGTCTTACAGACAATAGGGCGATGTAGGTAATACCACGGCACAGTGAATGAGGTATGACATGGTGTGCAACTCCAATGATCTCAAGCTGGGGGGTTTAAGGAAGATTTCTTTCAGGAGTTGAAACGTGAGCTAGGCTTCAAAGGACATGGTGTGTTTTAGACACCTGATGACAAGATGAAAAACATTTTATGTTTATAGGTTAATAAAAGCAGAAACCACACACAGGAACTTTGAGCTGTGGCAAGAGGGAATGGAGGTCCGGGAGACTGAGAAGGTAGGACTACCACACTGTCAGCCTGATTTGACAGGTTGAGCTAATAGGAGAGGACAGGTGGCTCAGTTCTGGCTGCCAGGGGACTGCCTTCTATGAGGAGGCTTGGAAGGGCATTGGGGTTGGCAAGGCTACTTAGGGGACTTTTGTGAAACAAGTAATGAAATGCTGGATTAAGGGAGTAGCAGTCTCTATAACTCTTTTCCCTCAACTTCAAACATTCTAAATGTGTTCTTAGGGAGACAGGATAAGTTAATAACTGGGGAAGTGCTCTAGGAACTATTGGATGCTATACAAAATGTTAGTTGTATCTGGAAGAAAACTAAGATAAGAAAACCTTTATGTGTTGTGTGGATTTTGTTACCTGTTATAAGCTTCCAGAGGGCAGGATTTGGGTGGTGGTTGGTTTTTTTTTGTTACTGTTTTGCCCTGCAGTTGGTGTTTTGTTTTGTTTTATGGATCTTAGTTGTGTATAAGGAAAAAGTAAGGTTTAATGTAGCTTTTTATGTTTTCTTAGTTATTATGTACAACATTCAGAACATCAGGGGAATATTCTTAAACAGAAAAAAATGGGGAGGGCTTGAGGGAACAGAGGAACCTGGGAGATTTAATCAGAACAGTTTAGAATACAGATATTTGGCTATATTTTAATTTTTAAAAATTCTAACCTGGGGATATGTTTTACTGATTTTTAGAGGGAGGGCAAGAGGGAGGGAGGGAGGGAGGGAGAAGGAGGAAGGGAGGGAGAGGGAGGGAGGGAGGGAGAAAGAGAGAGAGAGAGAGAGAGAGAGAGAGAGAGAGAGAACACCATCAATAAATAGGTTGCCTCCTATACTTGCCCCCACTGGGGAGCTAACCTGGAACCTTCCGCAGGTGTCCTGACCGGGAATCAAACCTGAAACCTTTCAGTGCACAGGATGACACTCCAGCCAACTGAGCCACACCAGCCAGGGCTATATTTTAACTTTTTTTTTTTTATCCTCACCCGAGGACATTTTTTTCATTTTTTGTTCAGATAGAGTGTGAGGGAGACACATCGAGTGGCTGCCACCCGCACGACCCAACCAGGGCCGGGGACAAACTGCAACCGAGGTACATGCCCTTAGCGGGAACCGAACCCAGGTCTCTTTGGACCGCAGGCCGACGCTCTAACCGCTGAGCCAAACCGGCCAGGACGATTTTAACTATTTTAACTGTCCAAAATTCATCTCAAATGAAAACATTTGGTCTTTTCAGTTTAACTACTTAAACTGTGTTGGGGCTATTTCCTGAAATCGGTAACTTGATCTATAATGTCATAGGAAATAGTATAAAGGAAAATGTGAACTAAGAGGTGATTAAATTTACAAATGTGAATACCTAGAACATTTTTTATTCTCAAGTTTCAAGAAGGTTTTTCATATAGCAAAAGCATAATTGTTTTTTAAAAGTTAAAATTTTAGGTATATTATTTTCATGGATATTTTTTAGAAAATAATTATTTTAACATGTTTATTAACAATTTTGCAGTGGAGTAACCCTAGGATAAATTTTGTTTAACTGATAGCAAATTTAAACACTAAAATCTGAGGAATTAAATACAGCTTCGTTGTATATCACATTACTCCTATGGATTGAAGGTTGGGCATGGAGGGGGGATAAGTGATATGCCAGTAATAATAAATTACATGTAAATTTTTAATAATTACTGCAAGCCTTTATCAGCTCATTTCCTCTTGGGAGAAACTGAGGCTGTAATAAAAACCATTATCAATGGATTTTCTTTATGGATGGACCATTTTTATAGTTGTATTTAAACATCTTATTTTTATCCTATAAAATGTTTTAAAAAGCTATGTTTTTCTTGGTATGGCAGGCTTTTTGTACCATTAAACCCATTTTTAAAAAGAGCATTAATAGTTCTTTGTTAATGAAGGTTGTTACAGGGCCATTCTAGCTTCTAGCTATAATCACCAAATGTCTCTTAGCTAGTTGTCAGGTACACAGTGGGAAGCTTGGAGCAAATTAGGAGGAGAGAAGGGAAATGGGCCTTCTCATGAAAGTCTTTCTGATGATTCAAGGAATCCACAGCAATGACATCGACCTGCTGCGTAATCACTTCTCCATATTTTTGCCTTGACGGGGTTGTCCCAACAGCACTGGTTTGAGAGCAGGGAGCGTGGAAAGTCATGGAAGCCTTTCCTCTGATAAGTTAAAAATAGGCATGTAAAACCATCTTGTTAGAAGAGTGAAAATTTTTAATTAAAGAATATGGCCCTGGCCGGGTGGCTCAGTTGGTTGGAGCATCGTCCCGTGCACCAAAAGATTGTGGGTTCAATTCCCAGTCAGGGCACATACCAGGTTACAGGTTCGATCCCCGTTCAAGGCACATCCAGGAGGCAACCGATCAATGTTTCTCTCTCTCTCTCTCTCTCTCTTTTCTCATCTCCTCTTTCTAAAAATCAATGAAAACATATCCTCGGGTGAGGATTTAAAAAAATTTGTAAGCCCCTCATAACCCTGGAGCAGTTTTGAATATATGGCTTTTAACTGACTGGTTTATTTAGTTATTTAATTAATTGTTTGTTTGTTTATTTATTTATTTTGGATTAAGGAAAGGTTTATTGATGGAGAAGGCGCCAACCAAGAACATAAGAACTGTGCTGCTGCTGTTTAAAACATATTTCAGGTTTCTCTCTCAGATGTATCATCAGAGCCTGTAACATACTCATAAAGAACCCTAGCAGTTGTAAATCTCAATTCTTTGGACAGTGAACTTAATTTTTGGCAAGAGCCAAAAGCTATTAGTTAAGTGCCCAGGAATAAGATGGGTATAAGCTGGTTAGTGCCATTTGGGGTTCAAAATGAGGTATAAAGATAAAATAGTGAGACATTTTCTTCAGTAATGCATAAACTGCCTCTCAATGAAGAATTTAAGAGTAGTTTTAGCCCAGCTGGTGTGGCTCAGTGGTTGAGCATCGACCCATGCACCGAGAGGTCCTGGTTCAATTCCTGCAGGGCACATGCCCTGGTTGTGGGCCGGATCCCCAGTGAGGGGCGTGCAGGAGGTGGCTGATTGATGTTCTCTCTCATTGATGTTTCTGTCTCCCTCTCCCTTCTTCTCTAGAATCAAGCAATAAAAAATTTATTTAAAAAGTAGTTATAAGCAAGGCAACATTCTAGGAATAAGGTATGGTTTCCCGTTATGATACTTACAAGGATTATGTTCATATGAATGCTTGACCTCTGGCATATAAAACAAAACAATCCATACATCCATTGTCTCAGTGTCGTGACACCTTCCCCATAGGGCTATTGTAAAGATGAAATGAGATAATGTTTGTAAGCTCTGTGCTTCTGTGTTTGGTATATACAGTAAGCTCTTAATAATTGTTAGCTATGTGTCATAATAATAGCTTTATAATGGTACCTAATGGTCAGGAAACTCTTGCCCTGGCTGGTTTTGCTCAGTGGTTAGAGCATTGGCTTGTGGTCTGGAGAGACCGGGGTTCGGTTACTGCTAAGGGCATGTACCTCGGTTGCAGTTTGTCCCCGGCCCTGGTTGGGTCATGTGGGTGGCAGCCACTTGATGTGTCCCTTTCACATCGATGTTTCTCTTTCTCTCTCCCTCCCACTCTATCTGAACAAAATATCAAAAAATGTCCTCGGGTAAGGATAAACAAACAAAAAAAAAAAGGTCAGGAAACTTAGTGAAAGTTATAAGGATTCAGAAAGCATTAATGTTGTAAGATAGCTGGGTTTATATAATAAACGGTAGCATTTTTTTTAAGGATACATTTATGGTAAGCACTATCATTCTAATGATCATAACTTTGCTAACAACTGAGACTGTTTTCTGAGGGTTTAATGAGACTTTTCTAAGTGATTGAATTAATCTCAACAGAATTTTATTTTGAAATACTATTGTAAGCTTCTTACTAGTGATAGAGATACAAGGATTTCTATGAAGTCAGAGAAATTATTATGTTTGATGTCAGCTTTTAAAGTGTGATAGTATTTTAAGATTCTATGACCTTAATGGATTTACAATTTTATGGACATTTAGGAGTCGAAAATAATCTGATTATACTTCGCATATGGTGTGTATTTAATGCCTTGTTGTATTTTTAAAGTAAAAATAATTCAGTTTAGGATTTTGAGGATCTTATTGTTAAAGTGGCAAATATTTAATGATCTCTGATTTGAAAAGAACTCAAAACCATGCATCTATAGCTATTTTTTCCTACTTACTATTGTACATGTTTTATGGCATACAATTTAGTGCCTTAATTATAAGAAAAGATAAACATCTTTTTAGTTTTATAGCTATTTTGATTACATTTTAGTAAGTTTTGTTCTCAGTAAAATATTTTCAAATTTAGTTAAAACATTTACAAATTATTCTAGGGTTGCTGCTTCTAGCAAGACAGAGAGACAGATGTCACATGATTTGGTTGCTGCTGGCAAGAAAAGTGAGACCTTCCATCCAGTGTTTGAACATCTTAACTCAACTCCTAATACTGAAAACAAAACTACAGGAGAATTTGCTCACGAAATCGTAACTGTAATCCATCAAATTAAAGGTTGGTATATTTTGTACATACATTAGGGATAACAAAAATAATGTACTGCCCTGGCTGGTTTGGCTCAGCGGTTAGAGTGTCAGCCCATGGACCAGAGAGACCTGGGTTCGGTTCCTGCTAAGGGCACGTACCTCGGTTGCAGTTTGTCCCTGGCCCTGGTTGGGTCATGTGGGTGGCAGCCAGTCAATGTGTCTCTCTCTCTTCCTCCCTCTCTCCCTCCCACTCTGTCTGAAGACAAATGCAAAAATGTCCTCAGGTGAGGATAAAAAAAATAATAACAATTATTTTAGATACAGGAACATATCTGTGATATTATAATAAAAATCATATTTCATTGTAAGTTAGATCATTAATTAGAAAATCTGTTGAAGAGAGTAACGGATAATAATTCAAGCTTACTTGGGGTTTTTAATTATTATTTTAAAGAGTACAAGACTCTAAAGGTAGCCATGGCACCTAGGCCTGGTAGTTCTGTATATGTGGTTCTAATAACCTGGTGCTTCGATTCATAGTAGATTAGAAATCAAAAGTTATGAAGGGAAAAGTTGGCTGCTGCAAAAGACGTGTACTGAGAGCAGCAAGAAACAATAACTGATAACAGAACAGGAAGGAGGTAGCAACAAAAAGCAGATATGAAACTTAAGAAATCTGGAAGTCTAGGTCATTTGTCCCTGAGGGCATTACAGGACTTCATGCCAAAAAGGTGATGATAAGTGATCAAGAAAAGATTCCAGTTCGATTTGGCATACTTTATGACATTAGGGAGTTGCAGAGTAAATACTTTGAAGATTTGCATTGACTTGTTTTGCTTTATTTTTACTTCTCGCCAATTTTCATTAATTGGAAAACTCAGTCATATAGAACAACTTTCTCAATGATCCTGCATAAATAAGGCAATTGTGGGTATTATAAACTACACACCTTAGAGAATTCCAAAATTTTAAATATTTCTTACTAGATAATTGCATTAATCTATTTTACCTTCACAAAACATATTGAAAATGAATTATTTTCTCTGCATTCCTCAAATTAAGGCATATATTTACTTTGAAACATGTAGTTTGTCTGAAACAATTCTCCTTAGTTCTAGTCCCTCTTACCCAAAGGAATTGTGATTTTTGGCAGAAAGGGAGCTGGTATTGCAGAAAAATCCGGGAGATGTCTCAGAACAATATCAGCAAGTTAGGAGGAAAGATTGCTTAAGTAGCATTCTGATGAGTTAAGTATATTTTCTTTTCTCTCTATCCTGTTAAAAGCCTGAAGCATAGGTGGTTTCAGAATGTCTTCATGAGCTTCAGTTAATGTTAAATGGCATTAGGAGGCCTTGTGTGATAGGTAAACATAACATTTAGCATTTGTTCAGAATCACTTTGACATTTCAAGGTGGTTTTTGGAGTTGCTTTTCACTCTAGGTGAAGTAGAGTTCTGGACCATCTTTACTCCCCAGATATAGTAAGGGCTTGTCTTAGAGAAGAAAGGTCCTTATTTTGAGAGAGCTACTATCTTTTTCCCCAACAAGTAAGTAAGCAAGCATGTCAAATAGGAACAGAATCCTTGGGTTCATAAATCAGGTGTTTTACTCTTGCTTGGGCTTGAGAAAGCATGGGATCACTATGAATTAGTCTGTGGAATATGTTTAGATCCCACATAATTTCAAGAGAAAACAGGTTGGAGGTTTTTTAATAATTCTTTCTTCTTGTGCTTATATATAATCTTTTAAGTGGAATCAGTTTTACACTGAGATAAAACTTTCTTTTTTCCCACCCCCAGCAAATTATTTTCCATCACCTAACATTACTTTACATGAGCGTTTCTCAAAACTACAAGATACACAAGCTGCACCTGCAAATGAAACGAAACCGAATCCAGATCCAGAAATTCACAGGTAATGATTAATTATCATATGCTCATTTAACTCATGGGGATAAGCCTCATAAGAGATGTGGGAAGGTGCTGATTCCTGGGCTTGCTGTAGACTCTAGCATCAGATTTCCTACCTAAAAACAGGACAGACCCAAGCAGGCTCTGGGCCTCTGCACGCTGATGGAATAGGTTGTATTAAAGCCATTCACGCCCTGGCCGGTTTGGCTCAGCGGTTAGAGCGTCGGCCTGCGGTCCTGAGAGACCCGGGTTCGGTTCCCGCTAAGGGCATGTACCTCGGTTGCAGTTTGTCCCCGGCCCTGGTCGGTTGTGCGGGTGGCAACCACTCGATGTGTCCCTTTCACATCGATGTTTCTCTCTCTCTCTCTCTCCCTCCCACTCTACCTGAACAAAAAATGGAAAAATGTCCTCGGGTGAGGATAAAAAAAAAAATAAATAAAAAATAAAGCCATTCACTAGCACTGTTTAAATGTGTAGGACTTTGAAAATATTTTCCTACCTAACTTTGATTCTGCTGTGTCTATAGTAATTGCCTACTGAAGTTATCACTGGAAGAATGAAAAACAGTTGTCGAGCCATTGAAATCATGAGTTGCTTCATGGGGTCAGAATGGCTGTTCTGAGAACAGCCGGATGAAAACATATGTCTTCTGCTACTGGCACCTGTCCGAGCAGGTGGCGTACCCTGTCTTGTGAGCTGAGTTGAATCAATGTTAGAATGCAGTAGATCACCGGAGCAAAGTTTAAAGTTACACAGACTAGTGATTTGAGAATCACTAAGGCGCAACTGTGATGTTCAGAGGATATGTATGTCTTGGGAAACTGCTACATAGATGAAAAACCACCTGGTAGCAAGTTTCTTTTGCTTCCTCCAAGACACACCAGCTTTACTTCAAATTCCATTCTGTAGTAACGGTATCAAGGTATCAGTGTATAACATCATTATTTTATTCTAATATACCTTTATTATTTTAGGAGAATAGATATGTCTTTGGCCGACCTTCAGAACAGACAAAATGTGGTATGTGGTTCAGAACAGGTAAGTGAATACAATTTTTGATGAGAGATTATCTTATTGTTGATAATACTAATGGGGAAGGGAACTGGTGATTGGGAGTTAAAGTAGATGAGGAAGAAGAATTGAGACCCAGGAATCTGAAATTTATAAAGCTCTCCAAGTGATTCTAGTTATTGGCCAGGTTGCAGAAAAAAAACTGACAAAAGACCAAAATATTCATGACAATGGAGAGACAGTCCCTAAGGGCAGCAGCTTTGTAAAATTGACACAAAATTATAGCATTTCATATTCATTCCAAAACTTCACACTTTAAAGCTTGCAGAAAGTATGTTTGATACCTACTTTTCCTAAAGCAGTTGTGTGAAATAAATTTTAAAAATTGTATGTAGAATGAATGCAAAGAGCTTAGTTTTATTTGATATTGCCCTTCTGTTTATTGTAGAATGTGTGAAAGATCCTATGCAATATGAACGAGCAAAATAATGCAAATAATACTGAATTTTTTGATTGTCACATGTTGTGTGCAGTGGTTCCCACCCCAAAACCTATGGACCCTCCCACCCCATTTCTTGGCTAATTAAAGACACTATCTTAACTAGCCAGGGGGGAAGAAAACTGGCTCTTGTTTTAGAAGTTTTTAAGTTCCAGAAGAGCTGCTAATTAATTCATTGAGAGTAAAGAGTTGTAAAGGGATTATAATACATTTCTGATAGAATATATACATAATTTTTTCACTTGTGAATGGTTACAATTTTTAACGAATTTACAGAGATGGTTTATTGAACAAGTCATATTTTCAGAAAATTTCTACTCATCAAAGCACTATAATCAACTTAAAGGATATCTGAGGGTTTTTTAAAGTTAGAGGTTAAAAGAAATCCTCTAATCCAACCATTTAACACAAAATCTGGTTTGATCGTCTTTTCTTGCAGTCCCACGTCTGGCATTTTGATGTAGTCGCTATCATAGTATAGGCAGTTCTCGATGTTTTTGTCTTTTTACTTAAACCATGATACTACTTTTATGTAAAAATCTCTGAATTCCCCATGACCTTTTATGATTGAGGCTTTTAAGTTTCAATTAACTTTTTTTCAATAAGGGGTTTTTCATGTTTACTTCCACATAGTATATATTAGCATAATTTAAATGCTTGTACATTATTCCTTTGACTTAAATTTACCATAAAATCATTCTTCCCTTCCCCTTTAATTTTTTTAATATCTAAGTTGCTTCCGTTGTTTTTTTTGTTGCTGTTATTTTAAATATAGCACTTTGAATATATTTGGGTAAAGAGCCTTTTCTTTGGGCTAGAGTCCCAGAAGTGAGATTTCTGGTTCAATGTCATAAACTTCTCTGACTCTGTATTGTCAATTGTATCTCAAAATATTTTTATTAGTTTACACTACAATTCGCAGGATGAGTACAAGATAACTTATTTAGGACTTTTTACTTAAGGTTCTTATTAGATATGGTCTTTGTGCAACTAACAGTAATGTGAATGGTTTGTCTTCTGTCAAAATTCCTCAGACTCTGGTCAAAGTAATAGATCCAAATGACCTACGACATGACATTGAAAGAAGGAGAAAAGAACGGTTACAGAATGAAGATGAGCACATTTTTCACATAGATAGTGCTGCAGAGAGGTAATCAGTAGATGAAAAACATCCTGTTATCAGGGAGCTTTCGGTATTAGCATATATTTTTCAATTTTTTTGTGTGACTATAACTTTCATTTTAGTGTAGGGATTTAATCCTTCAAATCTATTTTATATGTTTAAGTAAAATCTATTAAAATGTTTCAAAGTTATTCAGTGATCATCATATGCTGTTTGATTTAAACAACAAAAGTTGTGGGGAGTAGGTGAGTATTTGAGGTCTTTATAATTCGAGAAAGGAGTATAACAGCTTTTTAAAATATTAACAAGAGCCAGGACCAGCAAGTTTATGGATTATTTGGCTCAAGCTGATTCAAACTCTTAACACATTCTGCTCTTTAGATTTTGGTATTCTTTGACTATTACAAAATGTGCTGAGGTCAGTGGAGTTCTCTTTCAGAACTCACCGTGAATGTCTGACCTTGAAACAGCAGCAGGTATAATGGAAAATGCAGAGGAGACCCGAGTTTGAATCCCACTTCTGCCAATTTATAAGCTCTTGGGCAAACTTGCTTAGTTTTTGGAGCCTTTTCCTCTCTAAAATGAGAATGACCAATTTGCAATGGAGAGGTTAGAATGTAAATGAACTGGTACATGCAAAGTACTTATGCCATGCATGGCAAATTGATTGGCAGTAGATTCTTGTTTTTCTTTTCTAACCTTGTACCTCTGTTTAGGGGGTCTGAGTATTCTAGATTGGCCCCAGTTCATCTCTAGTTCTGAAAACTATGTGGAACTCATGGCAACTGTGAGACTCCATATGATTGTGAGGTATAATTCAGTGGGACAAAAATTCCAGTTCACCTCAGTGGTCCTCATGCTAGTTGGATCTCCCAGAAAGTGGGAATGTATGACTAGAAAGGGTCAATGCTGATTCCCTTTCCATGGTCCTTTTAAGTCAAGTCTATGGCTAAATTAGGTCTTAGAGAAAATGTATGGAGCTTGTTTAAAACTGGATTTGAGCCCTGGCCACTTTGGCTTAGTGGTTAGAGAGTCGGTCCGTGGACCAGAGTCATGGGTTCTATTCCCGGTCAAGGGCACGTACCTCAGTTGCAGGTTCAATCCCTGGCCCCAGTTGGGTCGTGCGGGAGGCAACCAATCGATGTGTCTCTCTCACATCATTGTTTCTCTTTCTCTCTTTCTCTCTCCCTCTTTCTCTCTCCCTCCCTCCCTTCCTCCCACTCTATCTAAAAATCAATGGAAAGATATCCTCATGTGAGGATTAAAAAAAAAAAAACAACTGGACTTGATACTGACATTAAGTTTGGAACTAATTAAAGATAGCAAAACTGTTGAGACCTGGTGATGAGTCTGCTCAGTGGTTAGAACATCAGCCCGAACACCAAAGTGGGGTGGATTCAATTCCTGGTCAAGGGCACGTACCTGGGTTGCAGGTTTGATCCCCAGTCCCAGGTCAGGGTGGGTGCAGGAGGCAACCAATTGATCTGTATCACATTGTTGTTTCTTTCTCTCTATCTCTCTCTCCCTCCGCCCCGCCTCCACTCTCTCTGGAAATCAAATGAAAAAATATCCTCCGGTGAGGATTAACAACAACAACAACAAAACTGTTGAGGCATATAAAACAATTGAAAGTAAAATAGTTAAAATCTCATTCCTTGGTGGGTGAAAGTCTCCAGTTTCCTAAGATGACATGGCATGACTGTGCTATTTAGTTACACAGGCTCTCTCATGCTTTTCTTGACTCAGCAAGTGTAAGCGACTCAGTGGACCAAGAAAAGAGGATTTTAAAAACAGATTCAAGATAATCAACATGCTATAAAGACCACGGAGTGCTTCAGAATATGTCTTCACCCTCTGAGCACTGAGTTCAGTGACTGGCTCTGTAGTCACCTAGCTATGTGGCTGACATTGCACAATTTACTTCATCTCTGTTTCCTTAGCTATAAAACAGAGATAAGAATTATACTTACCTCACAGTGGTGGTTAAGATTAAGTAAAGTGATGCATGTAAGACACAGAGTAGCTGGTCAGTGTTACCTATTATTAATGTTAGCTTTGAGGATGGTGCTGTTGTGACATGCAAAGATATCTTCCTGCAAGAGGTCTTTTGCTGGGTCTGTTGGACTATTTTATTTGTATTGGATAGCAGGTGTGGTGTAGTGGAACCATGAAGATTTTTTAAAAATTGAGATATTACTTACCATAAAATTCACCCTTTGAAAGTGAACAATTCAGTGGTTTGTAGTATAATCACAAAGTTGTACAACTTTTACCACTATCTAATTGTAAAACATTTTTGTCACCCCCAAAAGAAACCCTATACCCATTAGTTGTCACTCCCTATATCTCCCCCAACCCAGGCCCAGGTAACCACTAATCTACTTTTCTGTCTGTATGGATTTGCCTGTTCTTGACATTTCATATAATTGTAGTCATATAATATGTGGCCTTTTGTGACTGACTTTTTTCATGTAGCATAATGTTTTTAATGTTCCTCCATGTAGCATGAATATTCCTTTTATAGTTGAATAGTATTTCATTGTATGGACATACCACATTCTGTTTATTCACCAGTTGGTGGATATTTGGGTTGTTCCATTGTTTGGCTATTGTGAATAATGGTGCTATGAACTTTTGTGTGGACATATTTTCTCATTTCTCTTCTGTATACACTTAGGATTGGAATTGCTGGGTCATATGATAACTGTGTTTAACATTTTGATGAACTGCCTGGCTGTTTTCCACAATGGCTGTGCCATTTTATATTTTCACCAACAAAGTGTGTGTGTGTGTGTGTGTGTGTGTGTGTGTGTGTTTGTGTGTGTGGCAGGGGGTTCAGTTTCTTTACATCTTCACCAACATTTGTTAATGTTCATCCTAAAAAGAAAACTACTATAGAACCTTTAATCTCTCATTTTATCCTAGTTTAATTTCCTTGTTAAAATAAGAAAAACCTTTTTTATCTTTTTATTTAGAAATTCAGTTATCAAATTTGAGCTCAATACTTTTGCATAAGCCTTTTTATTTAAGTTAGTATATAGAGTTCCATAGAAGTTCAGAAGAAATGAAATATTATTAAATCATAAATCATAGGATGTAGTGATTTCCCACCCGTGTCATTTTTTTTCTCCTCAAAGAGTTGCATGCAGGCTCTGTGTCTATGTTTGCCCACCATTGTATCCCCACTGCCTTGAGCTCAATTCATAACTGTTGAATGAATGAAGTCTTCCTTCCAAAGGAGTAGACAGGACAGAGTTATGCTGAAATGGTAATGCATTTAGAGCTAGATCACGATTTATTCCCTGATACCTTAGGTGATCTTTCCCAAGCAAGTCTAACACTGTGACATTCTGTCTAGTCTCCAGACCCTGTTCTCTGTTTTCTCCCACTTTTGACCAGTCTCTTACCCTGCTGTCTCCAATGTCTTCTTCTGACACAATATTTCTCCCTCTTGTAATCTGCATTACTAAGTTCTCTACAGTGCTATTGAGGTGTTGTGCTGTTTTTAGGCATGGTGTGTGTGTGAAGAAGCAGTTTCAAAATAGTATCAGTAGACATTAAGAGGACATCAAACTGCCAAGACTTTCTTTTTTAGCTAGGCAGGTTACAGAAAACACCAGTCTTTATTTTTGCTACATAACGATCTATAATCTTTACTGATCAAGAATTAACTTTATAGAAATCTTTTATTCATATATTCAACAACTATTTATATATTTAATTTCTACACCAAGCCCTTGCCCTCATGGAGCTTATAATTGAGTGGTAGGAGAAAGAAAACAAACAAATAAATATATGTTGGTCAGGGATAGGTGAAAAGTAAGGCAGAGAAGAACTTTAATAGAGTGTTAGTGCGGTGTGATTTTATTTATGAGAGTTAAGGAATACACTTAGAATTTTTTTTAATTGAACAGGGCTGTAAATTATGTGAGAGAGTTAGCCATAGGGTTTTTTGAAGGGATAGTATTTCAAAGTGGGAATAGCAAATGCGAAGACCCTGAGCTAGGATCACACTTGCTCTTGTTTAAGGAATAGAAAGGGGCCAGTGAGGTTGTAACACAGTGCAAAGGGAAGAGAGTTAGATGAGGCAAATCATGAAGGGCCTTGAAGAACTGAAGACTTTGTCGTTTACTCTGAGATTAGAAAACATTTTGGCTTCTAACCCAAAAAGAGGCATAATCTCATTAAATTTTAAAATGGCCACTCTGCTTGCTGGGTGGAAAATGACCTGTAAGAGCTGGAGGAAAAATTTTTTCTTTCTCATGTAAAAAAGAAATTAGAGGTGGGAAGTCAGAGCATGGTAGGGTGGAGCTATCAGGGAACCAGGCTCCTTAGATCTTTCTCCTCAGATAGCCAGTGCCCATGGCATTTGCCTCCTGGTCCAAGATGAGTGTGTGTCCTGGCCATCATGTCCACGTTCTACCTGTTTCTTTAAGGACTTCCTGTAATTTATTTTTTTTTTGTTTTTTGGTTTTTGTTTTTGTTTTTTATCCTCACCCGAGGACATCTTTCCATTTTTTGTACAGATAGAGTGGGAGGGAGAGAGAGAGAGAGAAACATCGACGTGAAGGGACACATCGAGTGGCTGCCACCCGCACGACCAACCAGGGCCCGGGACAAACTGCAACCGAAGTACGTGCCCTTAGCGGGAACCGAACCCGGGTCTCTCCGGACCGCAGGCCGACGCTCTAACCGCTGAGCCAAACTGGCCAGGGCGGACTTCCTGTAATTTATACATGCCACTTCAGCAACAGTGGTCAAAGTTTAGTCTCATGGCCATGCCTAGCTGCAGGGAGGCTGGGAAATATATTCTTTAACTTGGACACTCATTTGCCTGGTCAAAAATCAAATATCAAAGAGTTAAAATTGTTTTATTGTGGTGAAATATGCATATCATAAATTTAACATTTTTAAGTGTGCAGTTAATTGGTGTTGAGGTTCATTCACAATATTATGCAACCATCACCACTGTCCACTTCCAGAAGTTTTCCATCTTCTTAAACAGAAGCTTTGCACCAACTAAACTGTAACTCCCGCCCTGGCCGGTTTGGCTCAGCGGTTAGAGCGTCGGCCTGCGGTCCGGAGAGACCCGGGTTCGGTTCCCGCTAAGGGCATGTACCTCAGTTGCAGTTTGTCCCCGGCCCTGGTTGGTCATGCGGGTGGCAGCCACTCGATGTGTCCCTTTCACGTCGATGTTTCTCTCTCTCCCTCTCTCTCTCTCTCTCCCTCCCACTCTATCTGAACAAAAAATGGGAAAATGTCCTCGGGTGAGGATAAAAAAAAAACAACTGTAACTCCCCACCCCCCTGCCCACAGCCCCTGATAACCTCTATTCTTTTCATTTCTGTGAATTTGCCTGTTGTGGTTACCATATATAAATATGTGTAAAGTCTTACAGTAATCATCCTTTTGTGTCTGGCTTATTTCACTTAGTATGATGTTTTCATCCATGTTGTGTCATATGTCAGAATTTGATTCTGTTTTAAAACTTCATTCTTTTATAAGGCTGAATAATATTTCATTGTATGGATATACCCATCTTGTTTTTCCATTTTTCTATTGATGGACATTTGGATTTCCATCTTTCGGCTATTGTGAATAATGCTGTTGTGAGCATTGGTTCTGTCACCTTTTTTATTATAGCCATCCTAGAGGGCATAAAGTAGTATTTTATTGATGTTTTGATTTGCATGTCTCTAATGATTAATGATCTTGAGCATCTTTTCATGTGCATTTTGTGTGTCTTCTTTGGAAAATATCTATTCAAATCCTTTGTCCGTTTAAAATTGGATTATTGCTTTTTTATTATTGAGGTGTACGAGTTCTTTATAATTCTAGATACTACTCCCTTATCAGATATATGTTTTGCAAAGAGGATCTTTTAAAGTCCATTATTTTGTTTATAGAAGTAGTAGGGCATGCTAATAGTAAACATCTGAAAAAAATATAACAAAGTTTAAAAACTAAAATATAATAAGATATTCTTGCCCTGGTGGGTTTTGCTCAGTGGTTAGAGCGTCAGCCCATGGACCGAGGGGTTGGGGGTTCGATTCCTGGTCAAAGGCATGTACCTGGGTTGCAGATTCGATCCCTGGCCCTGGTCATGGTTGTGTGGGAGGCCAACCAATCGATGGGTCTCTCTCGCATTGATGTTTCTCTCTCTCTCTCTCGCTCTCTCTCTCTCTCTCTCTCCCTCCCTCCCTCTCTCCCCCTCTCTCTTTTCCACTCTATCTAAAAAAATCTATGGAAAAATATCTTACGATGAGGATTAACCAAAAACATATATATATGGCATTCTTAATTTAATCAGTCCGAGATGACCACTGTTGATATTTAGTACATTTCCTATCATTTACTTTTTTCTGGGCATATCTGTGTATATTTAAAATAATTGAAATTATCCTTATGATGTGGCTTTGCACCCCACTCTTTTGACTTGCTATCTTTATCGTGAACATTTTGACAGAACATAGGTTTTTTTTTAACATTTCAAAAAACCCAGAGTGGCTAATTCATGTCAGGTTCTGGGTTCAGAGCTGGGCCTCAAAACAAACCATCCACAGTGCCTCCTCCGAAGGGATCCCAGCTTGCTGGGCGAGACAGACAGGTGCCCCAGCAGTTACAAACGCAAGTGATCCCTGTGGAGACCTCAGATGCTACATGTGCACTTCGCAGAGGTACCTAGGCCACCTCAGAGGGGTCTGGGAAAGCCCTGGAACAGGTGCAAATGGAGCTAAATCTTGAAGTTGCCCTAAGTTAGAAGGAAATTACAACAGAAGGAAGTGCATATGCAAACGCGTGGAAGCAGGAGAGATTGTGGTGTGTGCCAGGAGACACATGGAGCTAAATGTTCCTGAAACTCAGTGTGCATGCTGGGGAGATTGGAATAAAGCAGCCGGGTGGACAGCAAGAGACAGAGCAAGAAGGGCCTCGGGGGGCGGGGGGCAGGGTCCTGGTGAAGAGTGTGGATTGAACCCAGAGTCACTGAGGGAGGGACTGAAGCAGGCCCCAGGCGGTGAGATGTTTGTTCACTGTGGAGCAGAAAGGATCTGAGGAGCATCCTGGGGAGATGTGGGTTGGACAGGGAGGGGACTCCCCGAGGGCTATGGCAGGGAGGCCCCAAGGCTGGAGGAGAAGCCCAGGGAAGGCCCTCCCTCCCACGTGGGGCTGCCTTCCCTCTGGGAAGAGCCCTTGTTGGCCTCTGGACTTAGTGGCAACAGTAGAGGGGAGCTGTCCTTTGTTGCTGTGACCAGCAGTATCAGAAGCCCCAGCTCTGTTTGTGAGGGGATTTTGAGCCCATCACACACTTCATCTCCAGGGCTTTCACCAGCAAGGAGGGTCCAGTGCTGCCAAAGGCTTGAGAGCAGTTATTATCTACCCTCAGAAAACACACACTCTGTGTATGGTTTTAAGGGGTTACAGCCCTCGGGATGCCTGTCCTTGGACCTCATATTGAGAACTCTGGTCAAAGAAATACTGGCTTACCCCTATTGCTAATTTCCAACTTAGCTAAATAATGTTTGTTGAAAAATGAGGGTTCTGATCCTGATAACTATCATTTGTAATTTTTGTAGTGATAGAGCATTGAGATTATTTTTACTGTTGTGCTGCTTTAATTGTCTCTGGAGGGGGTAATTTGATTTCTCTTGTTTATTTGTTGGATAAAGGTAAACTAATAAAATATTCTTATTTTATCTCTCTCTCATTTTATTAGGAATGATCAGCCTTCCAGTTTTTCATCTCACATTGAGGATTTCCAAAAATCTGAATGTATTATAAAGTCAACTTCTCAAAAATTTATTCAGAAACCTTACATGGTAAGACTGCAGTTGCAAATTTTTCATTTTTGTACATTATACTCTCCTTCTCACATATATCTACATGTTCAGGGATGACCAATATTTTTCATGTTTGTGACTATTCGGTAAATATGGGTTATAATTCTTTTTTTGTTTTGTTTTTTTTGTTTTTTATCCTCACCCGAGGACATTTTTCCATTTTTTGTTCAGATAGAGCGGGAGGGAGAGAGAGGAAGAGAGAGAGAGAGAAACATCGATGTGAAGGGACACATCGAGTGGCTGCCACCCACACGACCCAACCAGGGCCGGGGACAAACTGCAACCGAGGTACGTGCCCTTAGCGGGAACCAAACCCGGGTCTCTCTGTACCGCAGGCCGACGCTCCAACCGCTGAGCCAAACCGGCCAGGGCGGGTTATAATTCTTTTGTTCAACGTTAAGATTTTGTTGAGGGCCGTGGCTGGTTTGGCTCAGCGGTAGAGCGTCGGCCCATGGACCAATGAGTCATGGGTTCGATTCTGGTCAAGGGCACGTACCTTGATTGCAGTTGTCCCTGTCCCTGGTTGGGGTCCTGCAGGAGGCAACCAATTGATATGTCCCTCCCATGTCGACGTCTCTCTCTCTCTCTTCCTTTCTCTACCTCTGTTCCCCTCCCACTCTATCTGAAGATAAATAGAAAAATATCCTCAGGTGAGGATTAAAAAAAAATAGATTCTGTTGAGGCATATAGTTATTATGACAGAAGAAATGGTCATCTCTTACTTGATTTAGCAGGATTTTATTGCATTTATTATAATACTGGCTTTCTTTACTTAAGAACAACTTTATTAAGGTATAATTTACATGCCATGAAATTCACCTGTTTTAGGTGCATGATTTAATGATTTTTTATAAAATTTACCCAGATGTGTAACCATCACCATAATCCAGTTTTAGAACATTTTTGTGTACTCAATAAGAGCCCTCGTGCATACTAATCACTAATCAACCTTTTAAAAAAATGTTTTTAGCCCTGGCCAGTTTGGTCCAGCGGTTAGAGCGTCGGCCTGCGGTCCGGAGAGACCCGGGTTCGGTTCCCGCTAAGGGCACGTACTTCGGTTGCAGTTTGTCCCCGGCCCTGGTTGGTCGTGCGGGTGGCAGCCACTCGATGTGTCCCTTCACGTCGATGTTTCTCTCTCTCTCTCCCTTCCTCTCTCTCCCTCCCACTCTATCTGTACAAAAAATGGAAAAATATCCTCGGGTGAGGATAAAAAAAAAAAAAAAAAAAAAAAAAAAAAAAAATGTTTTTATTGATTTTTAGAGAGGAAGGGAGAGGCAGAAAAAGATAGAAACATCAATGATGAAAGAGAGATATCAGCTGCCTCCTGTACACCCCCCACTGGGGATCAAGCCAGAAACCCGGGCATGTGCCTTGACCAGGAATCAAACTGGAGGGTTCTTAGTGCATGGATTGATGCGCAACCACTGAGCCATACCAGCCAGGCTACTTTTTGTTTTTAAAGATTTGCCTTTAAAAAAACAATTTTTTTTTCCTTTATTGATTTTACAGAGAGGAAGTGAGAGGGAGAGAGAGAGATGGAAACATCGATGAGAGAGAACAACATCGATGAGAGAGAACATCGACTGGCCACCTCCTGCATGCCCCCCCACACTGGGGATTGAGCCCACAACCTGGGCATGTGTCCTGACCAGGAATCAAACCAGTGACCTTTTGGTGCATGGGTCGATGCTCAACCACTGAGCCACACCAACTGAACAGGATTTGCCTTTTCATAGGGCAGTTCACAAATGGCACTTGGCTTCCATAAGAACAAGCGACAGCTAGAAAGAATCCAGAGTGTGTTTGTAGCCTACTCTCAGAAGTAACGTTCCATCACTTCTACCATACTCTGTAAGAAGCAAGTCACTAGGTCTAGCCCACACTCAAAGGAAGGGGATGACATAGGGATCTGAATACTGAAAGGTGGATGTGATCGGGGGCCTGGTCAGAAGCTGCCTGGTAGAGTCTTCCCACTGGCTTCCAGTAAGTCACATCCCTTCATGTGTAAAACACACCTGCTCCCTCCCAGAGTCCCCAAAAGTTTTATCTCACTACATGTATATTCATGCACTTACTCAAATTTGTAGACTTGATATAAATTCAAAATGACTACTATAAAAAGGGTTTTATGTGACAATTTTTTTTAAACTGAGGAGAGAGGTAAAGGGTAAAGGTATGAAAGAGGAAGATATGTGAGAAGTATAGACTCAAATGGAATAAAGAGAAGGTTATAAGACTATTATTTTGAAAAAAAGAAACCATATTTCAGAATGGACCTGATCTTTTCTGTTCCCATCAAAGGATTCAGGTTCTTTGTAGTTACCATCTTAATACTCTGACTTCTGACAGTTTACTAGTCATGGCAGGATCATCTCTTCAAATCAGTTATCTGAGTCAGCAAAATCTGCCTCCTGCAGTGTTGAGAATTTGTTTTCTTAGCAGGGAGTTCTAGCAACTCCTGATGATAATAGGTTTGTTTCTCTTCTGCACGTCTGAATAAATACTACATTTTTAGTCCATTTATAAAAGTTACCTATTGTGTTAGGCAGGACTATTTTTTTTTAACACTACTCACAATCATGAATTAAACTAACCCCTCACAAATTAGCATGGGTTATGTGAAGGAAGATGTGTGTATGTTCCTGTAGCTAAACTACATGCTACATGTTTTATGTTCTTAATCCTGTACATTTAAAATGGGTGTTTTTATTTATTTATTTTTATTTTCTTTTCTTTATTGATTTTAGTGAGAGAGGAAGGGAGAGGGGGAGAGAGATAGAAACATCAATGAGAGAGAACATCGATTGGCCGCTTCCTGCATGCCCCCACTGGGAATTTGGCCCACAACCTGGGCATGTGCCCTGACCGGGAATTGAACTGGCGACCTCTTGGTGCATGGGTTGACACTCAACCACTGAGCCACAAAGGTAGAGCTAAAATGGGTGTTTTCAAATGGTAAAATGAAGTTTTGTTGTTGTTGTTGTTGTTGTTTTATAAAATGAAGTTTTAAAAGTAAACTTGAAAGTGTATTAGCCCATGCTAATACTTTTTTCATTCAAAATTATACTATGCAGAGAAAAAACATTACTCACAAACCATTTGAAGTTGAGAGAAACCATCAAAACACAAGAGACTTCAGACGATTTTTTTAAGTATTGAGTGTTATTTTCTATTTAATTCTAGCTTTTGGTTTATGCTTTGAACATAACGGTCTAAGTATTAGTAAATTCAAAACTGTTTTGTGATATTTCACATAGTAGCTATAAACTATTATTTCTGGACATTTATAGTTAACCTTAATTAATTTAATGATGACCCTTTTTCTCAGGACTTGATTTTCAGTTTTTTTTAACCAGTAGAATCCTTTTACAAATATTACATGGAAATACAAATACATAAAACAGATATTGATAACATGGCTTTAGGTGAGGAGGCAAGCTAGGTCCCAAATCCTCCATCTCAGTCTGTCCCTTTACCTCTAAGATATAAGTGCATAGCTATAGAGCCTTCTCCAGGACTCACAGATTGAAAAACCCTGCCCATAGACAGACATGCAGCCCTCAGAGGCCTTCTGGATCAGTCACCAGAGAAAGATTCTGATCCAGCAAGCTTTGTTAAAGCATATTCCAGTGCATTCTACTTGTACAGCTGTGTCTGATGTAAGTGATATTTTTAATCAACCAACATGTTTGATTATCCAGATAACCTCATCCCCTAAACATGGGATAAAAATTGTAGTGCCAAGTATTGTATTTTCCTTTCTTTGCTCTCAGAAGTTGAAGTGCTTTTTAAATCCATTTGGATGGATTTTCCTGCTTATGTGATAGGTACTTTATTCATTTTTTTCATTCCACGGTGTCTTTTTCCCCTCCCCGCAGAAAAGAAAAGACTCTGAGTTTTTGTGTGTGTTTGTGAAAGGAGCAAGCAGGCTGAATGGAGTAGTTAGCTCATTAGTAGGAAGTTAATATGAGCAGAAAGGTAATATAAACTATCTCCAAACCACAGAGTAGGAGTGATCTTTTGTTAATTGCTGGCTTCCTGAGAGTCAAAATTTTTAGATGTCAAAGATTTTTTTCCCACTAGGAGCAACACAATTAGCAGGCATTGGGTAGATAACGTTTTTAGCCAATGGTTCAGGTACTTAAAAACGTGATGTTAGGTTTTCAAAAATAGCCATGGCCATAGAATATATAAACATGTCTTATACCATTTTTAAATCTCTTGAGGCATAAAATCATTAACTGAAAATGTGAGGTCTGCATAACTTAGAGATTACGTCACCGGATTTTCAGATGTAAGTGCTTCCTACATGTTGTTCTAATCATTGGTCAGATATAATTGATTGTAGTATTGTTCTACAATTGTTATAAGATCTAGTTCTTGTTACCCTTTCTCCTTAATGGAAAGTTATTTGACATTGATTATAAATTTTTAAAAAATATATATGCAATAATTTTCTTGACTATTCATTTGAAGCTGTGTAATATCATATGATTATTTAGAAGTCCACTACTTTTTTTTTTTTTATCCTCACTCGAGGACTTTTTTTTCATTTTTTGTTCAGATAGTGTGGGAGAGAGAGAGAGAGGAAGAGAGAGGGAGAGAAACATCAACGTGAAAGGGACACATCGAGTGGCTGCCACCCGCACGACCAACCAGGGCCAGGGACAAACTGCAACTGAGGTACGCACCGGGAACCGAACCCGGGTCTCTCTGAACCGCAGGCCGACGCTCTAACCGCTGAGCCAAACCGGCCAGGGCAAGTCCACAATTCTTTATAGTAAAATAGGAGGGAGAAATAATCCCTCCTAAGAAAAGGAGTTATTTATTATTGAAATTTAATTTTTATATTAATTGGACTAATTCAAAGCCAGAATTAGTAACCACCTTGTTAGCTATGTAACGTGGACAGTGTAAATCCGAAGATTAGCTCTGATCTATTTAGTTTGTGCAGATAGTTTTAACAAAATTACAGTCTCATTATAATTCTGTTTTACCTAAATTTTGTGTAGCCTTAAGAAAATAATTGGAAAACAGGAATGGCATAAATACTTTTTATAAACTTACGTGCTTCATTATGTATGACATACCCTTTATTAAATAATTATGGAAAGAGGAATGTACTTAGTTTTTATAGAAATTCCATTATAATGCACCATTTGTACATTACCCACATGGGAAACACAAATATCTGTTGTCCTTTTACATCCATTGTAATACTGGGCAGTATGCAGGCGAGGAAATGGTCTTTGTAAATATAACTCTTATCTTGAAAATATTTGCTGCAATGGAATTTTTATTAAAGAAAGATTGGCCTGCCCTGGCCGGGTGGCTCAGTTGGTTGAAACATCATCCTGTGTGCTGAATGGTGGCAGGTTCGATTATCGGTCAGGGCACATACCTAGTTTTCGGGTTCAATCCCTAGTTGGGGTGTGTGTGGGAGGCAACCAGTCGATGTTTCTCTCTCACACTGATGTTTCTCTTTGTCTCTCCCCTCTCTCTAAAATCAAATTTTTTTAAAGTTTCAAAAAAAAAAAAAAATAGGAAGAATGTGCTTTATTACCATCATTTAACCTCTTCCCTTTTAATATTTATAGTGCCTAGCCCTGGCCGGTTTGGCTCAGATGTTTGAGCATCGGCCTGCGGACCAGAGAGACCCGGGTTCGGTTCTCGCTGAGGGCACGGACCTCGGTTGCAGCTTTTCTCCAGCCCCGGTTGGGGTCATGTGGGCGGCAATCACTCAGTGTATCTCTCTCACATTGATGTTTCTGTCTCTCTCTTTCTCCCTCTCTCCCTCCCACTCTATCTGAAGATAAAATGCAAAATTGTCCTTGGGTGAGGATAAAAAAAAAATTAACTTAATATTTATAGTGCCTAGAATCAAGGGCAGCTTATGCTAATAAAGTAGATTTGGAAGCTGTAGTTTTAACATTTAGTTATTCTTTTCTTTACAGTTCAGCTTTAGAGGTGGCAGATTCCAGTCCCATTGTAAATCAGGCCTAGTACAGAAGAGCTTGTACATTCAGGCCAAATATCAGCGTTTACGGTTTGCTGGTTCAAGGGGATTTATCACTGATAAATTCAGAGAAAGATTACTGAGGAACAAAAAGGTTAGTTGGATTGTGATTATTTAAAAATACTGAGTGACTTTTGAACTCCTAAATTATCTCTGTTTAATAGATACATTTTTTAAAAATTTAATTTGACTTGAGAAACAGCCTAGATTTCAAAAATACTCTTATTGTATGATAGTTGCAGAAAAACTTCAAGGACTAGTGGTAATAGAGTTGTGAGACTGTTTAATCTTAAAATGCTTTTAGCTGTTATACTTCAAATACTTTGAATATGCCAGCTGTTTAAACTTTTTACTTTAGAATATCTGCTATATGATTAGTTTTTGAAATGGAAATTCAGGTAAAGACTATTAACTGATATATTTTAGCCTTATAAAATATGAATTATCTAAGTACCAAAAAATACTGAATTGACTTTATAAGAGTGCATAATTGCAAGATACACTAACTCTTTTTTCCCACATTCATATATGTTTTATTTTGATACAATATTTAACATAAAATCTGCCTTTTTAGCCATTTTTAGGTGTACAATTCAATGTCATCAAAGTACATTCAGAATGCTGTGCAAACATCACCACTTTATGCTAATTCATAATGTTAATAAAATGTTTCTTTGCTTGATAATTTGAATTCCATACTCTTTTAGTTGTAGATAGATATTATTTAAATTTGCCCTGTTGGTATTTGAAAATACAGCATAAATATGATATAAAATTATATTCTACACATTATATATATATTTTTTAATCCTCACCCGAGGACATTTTTACATTTATCTTCAGACAGAGTGGGGGGCGGGGTGAGGGAGAGAAACATCGATGTGAGAGAGAGACATCAATTGGCTGCCTCCCACACGACCCAACCAGGGCCGGGGATGAACTGCAACCAAGGTCCGTGCCCTTGGCCAGAATAGAACCCAGGACTCCTTGGTTTGCAGGCCAACACTCTAACCATTCAGCCAAACTGGCCAGGGCTCTACATATTATATTTTAAATGAGAATAATAGCATTACATCAGTTAAGTGAAGTGTCTTTATCAATTTTTTATTCAATTTTATTAATAATTATGGACTAATCTTCTGAGAAATCTATATGTATTTAGTGTTGCTATCAAATACTCCAACTGTGGTTTTATAAATTTCCTCACCATAAATATTTCCTTAAATATTCATACCTGTGAAGCCTTTACCCTGAGCTTGCTTAGTCATTTTAGTAAAACTTATTTTTCGAAACATGGATTAGCAGAATGGAGTTGACAACTGATTTTTTTTAAGTTTTCGAATTAAATATAATATCTTCTGAACTTCTCTTACCCCTAATTTTAACTGAGTACCTTAGAAGAGGTTTCTAATTTCACTGTGGGTGTCAACCTAGGTGACATACATAAAAATGTGAGTGTAATTGGTATCATTTATCCCTCTTGTGCACCTCCCTGCTGTTAGATTGAGGTGCTGCTGCTCTTCCTCTCTTGTGTCGCAAATTTCTTTGCAGCAGAGCTTCTACATGTTTGTCCCCAGTCACAGGCGGCAGCCTGAATGGTCTCAGGGAAGCTAGTCATTGATTTCCACTCGAGGACGAAGGCCGAGGCAAACTTATTCCTTAATTTTAAGGTTGAGTTTCAGGTACAGATGTGTTTCTCCTCCTCTATTTCTTTGCTGAACTTGGAGTGTTAGCTTCATTTAACTCCCATTTTTACCTCTGTTTCGATGATTTGGGGCTCCCAAGTGTGTAATTGACTGCCTGCTTCCGCCTGCGCATTCTGGACCCTTATTGGACATGCTCCACTTCATCACTCTTTTCTTTGCCTCACCTTTCCCAGTTCCTATTGACCACCAGCCTCGCTTAACAGCAAATCGAAACCAGATGTCAAGCCTTCATCGTAGGAAGTGAGAAATGTGTTCTAGAAGGAGCCACAGCCTGCTGTAGGTCTCCAGTCTTTAGGGCTTAGGCTTTTTGTGTCATCTAAACTGGAGCAGTTATGGTTAGGGGCCAATGCAGGTCACGGTCCTGTCCTGTTGCCTCTCACTGCCATCTGGTTGTGGTCCCAACACACTGGAGTAAAAAGAAAACAGTGTCTACTATTGTTTTTCTTAGGCATACCCTTCTGGATGCTACTTCATATATCTTTGTATTGTAGCTCCTTTGCCATGGGTTTTTCCAGTCTGGCTACTTGTCAGTGCCTGCAAGCAAGCCATAGCCAGGCTTTTTATTTTTTTTTATTTATTTTAATTCTTATGAGTTTCTGAATAAGGGTACACTTTATTTTATTTCCTATTTATCTGCAGATAGAGTGGGAGGGAGATAAAGGGAGAAAGGGAGAGAGACAGAAACATCGATGTGAGAGGGACACATTGACTAGTTGCCTCCCACATAACCCTGACCAGAGCCAGGGACGAACCGAAACCAAGGTGCGTGCCCTTGGCCGGAATCAAACCTGAGGCTCAAATGGTCCACAGGCCGACTCTCTACCACTGAGCCAAACCGGCCAGGGCATAGCCAGGCTTTTTATAGATTGTGTTTTAATAAGGCACAACTGTATGAGGTTTCCTGCTATTGGCACCCTACTTAATAGTTGGGTTCTACACTCTCCTAACCTTTAGGAAAAGTAATGAAGTATTGCAGCTGCTCTGTTTCTGCCAAGGTCCAAACTAAGATACTTAAGGCTTACTTGGCCTTAGCGCTGTCTCAGTAGTAGTGTGCTGTTCTGAAACCCCATTCCACGTGTATAAACTGATGATTTAGGGCTATTGTTCCATTTGACCTCAACCTTTATGCCCCAAAGAAAAGGGGTATAAGCCTGGAGTCTTTGGTTTCTTCGAATCTTGCTTGTTTTCCCGTTCTCTTATGTTAGGGGCACTTTTGCTCCAATGGGGTTACTGGGTGTGAGGTACCATTTACATCACTTTTCATCCTAAGTCCATCATTAGAGGGAACTTTGAAGCTCCCGTCCCAGTTATTAGACTACCACCTAGATTAATTAAGGATGTGTGATCAGTGAATTAATCGACGTACCCTGGAACTTCTTCCCACATGCCTCAAAGTCCACCAGGAAGGTTTAGATTGATCTTGTCTGGACTTCTCACTCACCCACCATATTGAAATACCAGGGCTGATCGTTTATGGCTTGAAAGTCTTGTGATGCTCAACTGTAGTGCAGTCTGCTTACTGTGAATCAGACATGTGCTTCCTGTCTCCAAGCAGTCTCGGGGAGGGGTCGGGGAGATGTGCTCCTAGTAAGTCCTCTTGCCCCACTAACCAGAATGATTGTGGCTTAAAACTGCCTTGGTTCCCCAGCTGCCTACAAAGTAGTAAGATTCCCACGCAGTAGTAGGAAACTACAGAACTGAAATTCTCCTCATTCATCATGTACTTGTCATATCAATCACATTTGGGCACCCAGATTCCCTTTTTTTTTCTTTTTTTTAATCCTCACTCGAGGATATTTTTCCATTTTTGTTCAGATAGAGTGTGTGTGTGTGTGGGGGGACATTGACGTGAGAGGGACACATCGAATGGTTGCCTCCCACATGATCCCAGACAGGGCCGGAGACAAATCGCAACCAAGGTATGTGGCCTTGACTGGAATCGAACCCACGAGTCATTAGTCCATGGGCGACGCTCTTAATCACTGAGCCAAACCAGCCAGGACACAAGTGCCCCTTTTAAATATCCTCTTGTCGTCAGAGAAAGTTTGCAGAAACCCTTGAGGGTCAGACCATGAACCAGGACAAAGAACCTAGTTAAGAATTCATGAAACCACCTCTGGGATTGCCTCTGAAAAACTGTCAGCAGCTGTGCATTTGGTCAGGAATACATGGAGTCCCTTAGCACCCGAGATTCTCCAGCAGTCTTCAGGTGCCTGTGAACCAGGTACCTACCAGAGCTCTGTCTATGGATAGGAAAGGGACAAAGGAGAGAGCATAATGACATTGTCGGAAGGAAGTTAGAGACTGGGATTTATGGCCTTTTGAGTTGAAAAAAGCCTTGAAAGTTATGGGTTACAAAGATTAGAACAGGACCCTAGATCAAATGAATGAACAAAATATCTGTTACATACCTGCTGTGTTCCTCAAAGTGAAATGTGCCAGGGTGCGCAAGTGTCGCATGGGAGCATCATCACCTGCAAACATTTGTGACCTGGAACCTCTAATTTCACTTCCTACTTCTCTGTCTTACTTAGTGATTTCTCTTCGCCCATTCAGCCTTTAAAAATGTAAGCATTCCCTAGTGTTATATTTTTTTATTCTCTTTGTTTATTCCTTGTTTATACTTGCCTGGATTGGCCTCACCTTTTCCCAAGATTTTGGCCATCACCTCTGGTAATGTCTTCAACCCTAAATATTCTCCAGAACCCCATATTTCTAGCTGCTTCCCAGATACCCTCATGTGGATGTCCTGAAAGTGCCTCAAATTCTGCATGATCACAATCAAACTTGCACTGACACATGCTACAGCGTGGTCACCCCTTAAAAATATGGTGCCAAGTGACAGAAATCAGTCACAAAAGACCACATAATGTATGATTCCATCTATAGGAAATGTTCAGAATAAACCAAGCCATAGAGACAAAAAGTAGGTTAGTGATTGCTAGGGACTAGGATGCAACGGGAAATGGGGGCTGGGAGGTTGTGTGACTGTTGATATGGTGTGGGGATTTTTTTGGGGGGGGGGTGAGAAAAATATTCTAAAACTGATAATGGTGACTGATGGTTGCACAGCTCTGAATACACTAAAAACTTTTGAATTGTACACTTTAAATGGGTGAACTGTATGGTATGTGAATTACATCACAGTAATACTATTAAAAACAAAATGAAATGTGCTCACCTCCTCAGATCACTGGTTTCTCCTCATAGTCCATAGCTCCTGCAGCAAGACAGCCACACCAGAAACTTGTCACATTAGTCTCCCTAGTCCTCCTTCCAACGTCAGCCATTCCAAGTCTTCTTATGTCTGTGACTCATTCATTCCATAATTCAACTCACTCCTTTTAATGGCTGCATATTATTCCTCTCTATGTATTATTTATTTTATTGCTTTTCAAACTTTTTTTGCTTACATACCCAAAAGTTTTGAAAAATTATTAACCTGGTATCTGACTTTTTTATTATAAGTTTAAATTGTTATGAAGGATATAATATCTGGCATATTATAAATACTGAGTCTTAAATAAAACTGTAGCATTCTTTTAAATCTCAGTGGAACCTGCCCATCACAGGAATTTGATAATTAACATCATCCATTTAAAAATATGTATAAACAAACTCTTTTAACAGTGACAAATTTTACATCATTCCTTTTTTTCCCCATGAATTTGGATTTCATTTTATTTTCCCCGTAGACTTTTCTTTGAAAGTCTTTTATTGATAACCAAATCAAATTTGACATAAAATGTTAATAGATTTCTGTGACTATGAGGTGTTAAATATTTCCTCTGGATTGAGTTAACATTACTATTGATCAAAATAGCATAAATATATTTCATATTTTATTAAGTATTTGTTAGACAAAGAAGTTTTATTAGAAATATATTTCTCTTTTTAATAGTTCATGTATTCATAAATAAGTAGTACTTATTGCTGGTAGAATAATATAGTGTTCAAGTATTCATTTTAATTCTATTTTTTCCTTTTATAGATATAAGTCCTGAGAAACCTTGTTTATATGATTATATAGATGGAAATGAAAGGACTTTTATTATAGCAATGCCACTTGGTTCTTTGGACACGCTCTGAATTATAGGCCAGGAAAATCACTTAGTGATCTATCATCAAAAAGTATTTAGAGTGTTCTTTCACTGATAGCTCAATTTTTCCTCTTTATGTTTGTTAAACAAAAGCAAAGAATCAGAAAACATCGCACCTGCAGAAGTATGGTATTTATGACTAGCTGCTAGGCTGGGTTTGTTTTCACACTATCACCAGTATTTCCAGTTGCCCCTTTTGGGGGGTCCCCAGCTAATGTAATCAGATTCGGGATGAGAAGGTGCATCTTTTTTGTATAAAGTGGGAGATGGGGCATCAGACTTCATCAGATGTGCAGGCAAGTTAATTCTGTACAGCAAGCATTGGGAATTTGAAGATCTAGAAATTAATTCCCTCCAAACTAGCTGTACCCGCATACTCCTTGGAAAGTCTTTATATACCCCCAAGGATATGCATACCCTCATTTGATGATTGCTGACCTACTTAACCAGGCCTCTGTTGATGACTCCAGGATAGCTTACAGGTTTTCATTGTTTTCGGTAATACCACTGGAAACATTGACACTTTGGTACCTTGCCATAGTGCCCCTTTTCCTCATTCCTGCTCTCGGCAGAGGTACACGAGGGGGCCTGTTTACCCACACCCTAGCCAGCACTCCACATTGTCAGTCTTTCTTTTCTGTTGCCAATCTGATGCAAAAAAAAGCTCTCCTTTGCTTTTATTTGATTATTCATGATGTGACTATATTTTTATGTATCTATTGACCATTTGAATTTCTTCCTCGATTTTCTTATTTCTTCGCTTTCCCCTTGTTTCTGTTGAGGGCTGGTACTTTTTTCTTGTTGACTTGTAGGAGCTCCTGATTTACTGAGGGTATTCATCTGTCATACATTTTGCTGGTGTGTGTGTATTTGATGTTTGTCAGCTGTCTGTGTTGGTGGCTTTTATGTTCCAGAACTTGTAAATGTTGATAAATCTGTCAAGCATCATGCTTATGCTTATAAAAATTCCTTACGGTTGTTTTTATAACTATAATGGTTAAGTTTATGGTTATAAAATTTTAAACATAGATATTTATTCCATTTAGAATATATTTTTATGATATGATGTGAGGTCAGGATCTACTTTTTTTCCCAATGGGGGATCGTCAGTTTTTCTAACACAAATTACTTAATAATTTGTCTTTTCCCCACTGGTTGAAAATGCCATCTTCGCTGTATGCTACATTCTTGTGTATCCTGATCTGTTTGGGGGCTCTTGGGAGCCTCTAACTTGTTTCCTTGCCTTCTATGATTTGCTTATTCCATTTCTTCACTACTCGCACAGTATTGTCCCCAAACACAGGTTGAATCATATCACTCTTTTGCAGACACCTTCCAAGGGTTTTGTTTCTACGAAAAAAGAGACTAGATTTGTTAGCCAGGTCCAGCCTTAAGCTACCTTTCTAACCATACTTCTCCATGGGCCCTCTGCTTTTTGGAGCATAACATGTTTTCACGTATTTGTATTTTTGTGCCTGCTGTTCTCTTGGCTAGAAATAGCCTCCTGACCCCCAATCTTTTCTTACTGAATTCCTGATTTCCTTTTGAGACCCACTGTAAAGCGTTACCAAAGCCCCTGCCCTCTTTAGCTGTCCTTTCACTTGATCTCTAACTGTTGTTGTTTACCTTCTATTTCCCTGAATAGATGGTCAACTCCTTGAGGATAGAGGTGCCTTATTAGTTTTCATGTATTCCCCTATTGGCTTTCATGTAGCCCATCTTTAGAAAATCCTTGTTGAATGAATCAAATCTAATCACACACACACACACACACACACACACACACCACATACATACATACACTCACAGCACATCCATCCATTCATAGCTCTAAAAAATTAGTGAACAGCAATTATTGTGTCAGGGGTCCCCAAGACCACCCCCAGGTCCATTGATTCACTGGGAGGACTTCAAGGCCTCAGCATATAGTGACACTCATGGCTATGATGTGTTACTGTAGAAGGCTGCACAGCACAGTCAGCAAAGGGAATTGGTACCTGGGCGAAGTCCAGGGGACACCAGACGCAAGTTTCCAAGAGTCTGCTCCCAGTAGAGTCACTCAGGACTTGCTGAATTCCCCTAGCGATGAGCTGTGAAAACACATGTGATACGTTGCTAGCCAGGGAAGCTTGTTAGAGACTCAGTGCTCATTGAAGACTTCCTGGGAGCCAGTCACATAGGCACCCTCTGCCAGGCACATACCCAAATTCCAGACTCTCAGAGGGGAAGCAGGAGTTCAGCATATATTTTATTATTTGCACAGTTTAGACACTCATCAATGGTGGGAACCCTCTCAAAATCTAAGTTACCAGATGCCAGCCAGTGGCCAACCTTGTAAGCAGGCCTTTCAAAGCATAGCAGTCAGGTATATTATATTAATTGTTCACTGTACAACCATATTTTTGAAGAGCTTAATTTTGCAGATGGTAAATGCCTAAAGAGAGGAGGAAAAGGTCAGTATGTTAGGAAGGGTCAGAATATATGGTAAGTACTTTGATTTCTACTCTCTTCACAGAGGAGGAAGAGCAGGACACAGAAGGGACTATGGCCAAAGATCCACATTTAATGTAGAGTTGGGTAGAGATAGGGGTGTACATGTTATAGAGGACCTCAAAATCTGGGTAGAACAGGATGTGATGCAGTAATAGGACATCTTCCTAGACTGAGAAGGAGAAAGTGGTATTTGAGGATAATCGCTTGGTGGGCAGTGGGTAGGCAGGGTTCTGGGGAGGAGATGAGATGCAGGAAGACCAACAAGGGGCATTTGCAATGATGTAAGTATCAAGTTAAGAAAACCTAGATGAGGGTGATACTCATTTAGCTAGTTCAGCATTCTGCTTAGTCAGATTTTCAAATGATTAGAAGAATGGAGGGATCAATCCAAGAGATGGTACAGAAGAAGCTATGTCAAAGGTGAACATGATTCAGAATAATTGTATATTTTTATAAACAAGGTATTTTGGTAGAAATAATTTTAAGAATTATTATAGAGTTTTCTTTTTAAGTTGTTTTTATATTATATGATTATAATTTTTATATTATATAATGAATAAAGAAATAGGATACAATGAAGTCTACCTCTATTTAAAGGAATAATGTTTACAAATATATATGCATGTATTTTGAATATTTCATTAACCAAAATAGAAGAATAAGAATTTTTTTATCACTATTGTTTTTGTTTGGAATTAAACATTTGCATGCTAATATAAATGCCAAAAAATAAATCAACTTTTAAATTTCTTTCAGTTTTAATAACGTAAGATCCCAGTACAAGGTAAGGATATATGTATTAATGATTTTTTAATGTCCCAGAAAAACATGTCACTCTACCATTGTTGCTCCTTTATTAGTTGTGTGGTCTTATGTCTAGTTCATGGTTAGTAATTTAATATTTTACGTAACATCACAGTATAGAATTCATGGTCATGACCATTTAGTCATACTCTTACTGTTCTTATGAACTTCTTTTTCTGTTTATTGAAGCCTTACATATATTTATGTTGAAAGTAACCATCCAAAAGCAAGAAAGCTCCCCCCATAGCTTCCCTGCTGTTATCAGCCAAGCTGGAAGAGCCCTTATAGTTTTAGAATTAGATAACATACGATGACAAAGATAAAATACCAGTTTAAAGTTGTACATGTGTCAGATCAGGCTCTGTACTTGAGAGATTAAAGTTTAAGAGCCTTGATTTTTTTTTTTTTTTTTTTGTCCAGGGATGTCCCCAGTGAAACTCACCTAATGGTAGAATGCTGTTTTCATCAACTTACTAATAGCAGTGGGTCAAGTGCCATGTATTTTCTTTGTCCTTCTGACATCATTTGATACCTGCTTTGATGTGTGTTGTTACTTTGCGTGTTTGGGGTTCCACATACCTTTGTGGGTATCTGGGATGCAAGCAGTACTATATATATTAAAATGTTTTGCAAATTGCAATGTAAACAAAGCTCTAGTTCAAATGTTGTACCTGATGCTTCTCTTTTTTTATTTTTTTATTGATTAATTATTTTTTGTTACAGATGCTTCTCCTTTCCCCCCCACTGATTGAGGTCTGTATTTCTTTTGTTTTCTTTCAACAGGAATATACAAACATCACCACAACAGTCTCATGGAGAATTGTTTCCAACGAAATCAACACTACAGGACGATCTTTGAGAGCATCTCTGTCAGGAGTTAGAATTGGCACTAAAGCACTAATACTGTAACTTTCTTGATAAAATAACTTTATTTTTCTGTAGTGGAATGTTGCAACTTTTTTACACTTACTTGCTTTTAAATTATAGTATTCAACTGAAAAGCTGTATTAACTACAGTTTCTCTTGCAGAAAGTCTCAAAAGGGCATTATTTGTTGAATTTTTCTCTGAGCATGTTTTCATAGGGAACTTAACTGAGTTATATTGAAACGTTTATATGTTGAAAGTTTTGCTTATGTAATAAAAAACAAAAGTATCTGAATTGTATAGTGTCTGTACATGAAAGAACTTGAAACAGTGGCCTTATGGTAGCAAATTTTATACCAGATTTTTCTTTTTCTGATGGCATTTTGGCTTATAACTTGAAGTTTTCTTAAGTTTCTGAAGTTCAAGGCCTATAATTCATACATTTCATATTATAATATAAGAAGGCGAGAGAAAAGGTGCTTCCAAATATTCCATCAGGTAGTTATGAGTGCACTGAATTTTTAGTAATTGGTTCATTCAGTTTTTTCCACAACTGTTTGCTCTTTTCAAGTTTTAAAATGCTATTGTGGAAAATATGTGAAGATTTTGTAATCTATATTCCATCTTACTTTCCCTCAGGGCAAGCTTGTGCATATCATATTTTTAAAGGCTCTTAAAAATTTGACAAAAGTCTCATTTTTGGAAATTGTACTTTACTACTACAGCGTTACACATTTTGCAAGCACATATTATAAAGTGTTTATTTTAAGTTCAGTTGTATTGAATATCTACTATGTATAAGATAGAGTTGATGGGATTATAAATGATATTTTAGGCTTTAATATCTTATTTCTTTATGTTTTCTGTGTTATGCTTGACAGTACCTATACATTCCCAACTAAATTTTTGTGAAATGTTTATTGGTAATAAAATATTGTTGTTCTTTATGCTTGAAGAAGTTACTTGCCAGTTTGTGAAAACATTATTTTAATTTTACATGGGAATTACAGCCCTAGGTAGGACCTGTTGACATTTATAACACTGGTCTGCACTTACAAAGACAGACCTTTCTAAATCAAAATCTGGTAAGAACTTGATTTTTCATGACTGGATTATGAAAAATCTTACTACAAACATTTTATTTTTTACATATCTTTGAAAGATAGGGCAACTGTTTTCTTAATGGGTCAGCAATAAGAGGGGCGAGAACAGTTGCTGCATTAAAATTGGGTAATAAATTTAGGTAGATGGCCTGTCTTATGCTGTGTACTACGTTTCTATAGGTCAGGTTTCCAAACATTTTTTTTGTTGTTTTTTTGTTTGTTTGTTAATCCTCACCCAAGGATATTTTTTCATTGATTTTTTAGAGAGTGGACGGGAGGGAGGGAAGGAGGGGGAGAGAGAGAGAGAAATTTCAATGAAAAAAATCATCCATAATCTTATCACAGAGAAAACTACTGTAAATATCTCGGAGGATACTTTTTTGCTATTGGAAAAACACTATTATTGTTACATTATAGTAATTTGTATAGATGCATAATATGGAGCACATTTTACTCAATAAACCCTACATTTTTCAATAGATTTTCTTTTTATTTTATTTTTTAAAAATCTTTATTGTTGAATGTAAAATGTATTACAGATGTTCCACATTTTCTCCCCATTGACCCCCTCCTCCCCACTCCCGCCCCCCTCCCGCCTTTTCCCACACTATTGTCTGTGTCCATTGGTTATGCATATAAGTTTTTTGGTTTATTTCTTCCCACCCCCCCCAACCCCTTTCCCTTTGAGGTTTGTCAGTCTAGCAATGAATTTGTACTTCTTAATCTCTTCACCTTTTTCACCCATTCCCTCAACCACCCTCCTATCTGGCAACCAACAAAATGTTCTCTGTATCTATGAGAATGTTTCTGTTCTACCTGTTCATTTTGTTTATAGATTCCATTGTCGATAGATATGTATTCATTGCCATTTTGTTTGTTCATATATTTTACCTTTTTTTTCAAAAAGACCCTTCAACATTTCATATAATAACGGTTTGGTGGTGGTGAACTCCTTTAACTTTTTCTTGTCTGGGAAAGTCTTTATATGGCCATCAATTCTAAATGACAGCTTTGCAGGATAGAGTAATCTTGGTTGTAGGTTCTGCTTTTCATCACTCTGAATATTTCTTGCCACTCCCTTCTGGCCTGCAAAGTTTCTTTTGAGAAATCAGCTGACAGCCTAATGGGTACTCCCTTGTACGTAACTAGCTGCCTTTCTCTTGCTGCTTTTAAGATTCTCTCTTTGTCTTGAACCTTTTGCATTTTGATGATGATGTGTCTTGGTGTGGGCCTCTTGGGCTTCATCTTGTTTGGGACTTTCTGTGCTTCCTGGACTTGTATGTCTGTTTCCTTCACCAAGTTAGGAAAGTTTTCTGCCATTATTGTTTCAAACAGGTTTTCGATTTCTTGTTTTCACTCTTCTCCTTCTGGCACCCCCAAGATGTGAATGTTTGCACACTTGAAGTTGTCCCAGAGGCTCCTTACACTCTCCTCATCTTTTTGGATTCTTTTTTCTTTTTTGTTGTTCTGATTGGGCATTTTCTTGCTTCCTTATATTCCAAATCGATGGTTTGCTTCTTGGATTTACGTTCTCTAGTATTGAAGCTGTGTAAATTATTCTTTATTTCAGTTAATGCCTCCTTCAATTCTGACTGTGCATCCATAATTTCTGACTGGTCCTTTTTTATGCTCTTGAGGCCTCACTAAGTTCATTGAGCATCCTTATAAGCAGTATTTTGAACTCAGCACATGTTAGATTGCTTATCTCCATTTCGCTTAGTTCTTTTCTTGGGGTTTTGTTCTGTTCTTTCATTTGGGACCTGTTTCTTTGTCTCCTCATTTTGGCTGCCTCCCTGTTTGTTTCTGTGTATTACTTAACGAGAGGTATGGGGCTAGCTGAGACCCGATGCTGCTCGTTTGAAAGAATTTAGGAAAACCTGAAGCAGGATCCAAGACAGGCCAATCCTATGGTTAAGCAAGTGGCAACAGCTTGGGCGGGCCTGAAAGTTGGGTGGGCCGGGGCCTCAGGGAGTCACCAGGGCGGGGCTACCAGTGTGAGCCAGGTTTCTGGAGTCCCAGATATGGCTTCTGTCTGCTGCCCGCCCCCGGGAAGGGCTCACCAAAGGAACAAAGGCCTCTGACAGCACGTTTGTCCCCGAGAAAGCCCCCTCTCCAGCCCTCACTCCAGTGCCAAACAGCTCAGTTCTTCCCTGTGTGTCTCTGGCGCCCCTCGAGCTGCCTCCCCTCCAAGCTCAGAGGGAGAGAGTCCGATAAGTCCGTGCGCGGGTCCTTTAAGGAGCTGCCTGGGGCTCCAGCCCCTCAGCCTCCCTGAGCCTCAGTTCCCGCTGGTTTTTCCAGCCAGAAGTGATGGGGATTCTCTTCCTGGCACTGGAACCCTGAGCGGGGCACCTGGTGTGGGACGGGGACCTCTCAGTCCTCAGGAAGGACCTTCCCAGCCGAGGTGTCCTCCTGATTTTTATCCGCCACCCGTGGGTGTGGGACCAGCCCCTCCGCCTCCGGCGCTGCCGCCCCTCCTGCCAGTCTGGATGCGGCTGCTGCTTTAATTCCGTAGCTGTAGGACTGCCATTCAGCTTGATTTCAGGCGGTTTTGAATGATGGTTGTTCTGTAGTTGAGTTGTAACTTTGAGTGGTTGTGGGAGGACGATACCGCGTTTACCTACCCGCCATCTTGACCGGAAGTCAATAGATTTTCTTTTTAAAAAGCGTGGAGATATTAGCAGATCCAAGCAGGAGACGTAAAGCTGGATCAGAACCTTCTCCATTAAATAGCCAACTCAGTAAGCAGCAGCCACACAAGGAAGGTAAGGAGAGAAGATGCTAATGCAACGGGTGTGGTGCAAGCCCTCCCCCACCCCCGTGAGGAGCACTGAGTAAAGAAACGGAATTGACAACATCTTGGTGAGGGGGCGCCTCAGTATGGACAAAGGGACTGAAAGGGTGACCAGGCCATGTGGAGGAAAGTCAGAAAACCCTTGGGAAGATGAAGTCTCTGCTACCATCTCAGGACCTCAGCAGAAGGGGGGGGGGGTTCCCCAGGAGGAGGCACTTCCTGGGTCAGGCACTTCCTGGGTCAGGTTGCAGTGTCACCTGTGGATGCCAAAGTCCGAAGGGTAAGGCACAACCTTGTCAAGCCCTGTTCTGGACATTTGGGAACCAGGTTTCCTAACAAAGTTTTAGTAAAAGGAATTGGTTAGGAGCTCTGAGTCCATTAAAATACAAAACTAAGATTTTAAAACTGAGGAATTACAGTTGTAGAATGGAATATAAATGTAATAATCTTGACAAAGAAAAATTCATATACATTGATCAATTGGTACATGGGGGAGAGAAAGTGGAAGAAAGACTAAGAGCTAACGGCCTCATCTTTCATGGACAAGAGTCATGTCAAGTTTTTGTTTTGTTTTGTTTATTTATTTTTCCCTTTATTGATTTATTGATTTTTTAGAGAGGAAGGGGGAGGGAGAGAGAGAAAGATCGATGAGAGAGAACATTGACTGACCGCTTCCTGCATGCCCCCACTGGGGACCGGGCCCACAACCTGGGCCTGTGTCCTCACTGGGAATCGAATCAGCGACCTCTTGGTGCATGGGTCAACACTCAACCACTGAGCCACACCAGCCGGGCATCATTTCAAGTTTTAATGACTGAGATTGTATTACATAATATAGGGAAAATCCTAGTGACCAACCTTAAGTTTTTTACAGTCTTTTTCGTGACCTTTGCACAGTGGTTCTCAAAGTGTGGTCCCCAACCAGCAGCGTCAGCATCAGCACCACCTGCAAACTTGTTAGAAGTGCAGATTCGTCCCACTTCAGAACTACTGAATTAGAAGCTCCAAGGGTGGGGCCTAGCGGTCTGTTTTAACAAGCCCTCCAGGGGGTGCTGATGCACACTCCCGTAGGAGAACCACCGGTTTACTTAGCTCTTGTAGAAACTAATTGCCCCTATGATGAAGAAACCTTCATCTGAAGTTCAGCAGCCCCTTCAGTTTCTTTGAATTTTTCCTCTTTAGCATTGAAATAAATTAAACCTTTTAAAAATAAAACGATACAGTGACCATCAATCCTGTCTGTACATATGAATTCTGTTAACACTGGTGATTTTTTTTTAACCTCACCTAAGGACATTTTTCCATTTTTTGTTCAGATAGAGTGGGAGGGAGAGAGAGGAAGAGAGAGAGAGAGAGAAACATCAACGTGAAAGAGACACATCGAGTGGCTGCCTCCTGCATGACCCAACCAGGGCTGGGGACAAACTGCAACCGAGGTACATGCCCTTAGCGGGAACCAAACCCGGGTCTCTCTGGACCTCAGGCCGATGCTCTAACCACCGAGCCAAACCAGACAGGGCCAGTGATTTATTTTTTATGTCTGGTAGGATTTAAAAAAAATTTTTTTTTCTTTATTGATAGTGGAGAGGAAGGGAGAGGAAGAGAGATAGAAACATCGATGAAAGAGAACATCAATTGGCCGCCTCCTGCATGCCCCCCACTGGGGATCAGGCCCACAACCTGGGCATGTGTCCTGACCAAGAATCGAACCAGTGACCTCCTGGTGCATGGGTTGACACTCAACCACTGAGCCATACCTGCTGGGCAACACAGGTGATTTTTTAAGTGCTGGGATATGAGTGACCACTTTTCTGTATCAGTGGAACATAACATTGTCTTGTTTTTATCAGATAAA